CGCCGTTCTCGACCCCGCCGCCTCAGCTCACTCTTGCCCGGCTTCAGCTCAGGCTAAGCCGGGGCTTTCGCACACGGTAGGCCGCTGTGTTTTTCGTTGTGAAAGCGAAACTACTTTGTTTGGTCTTCCAAAAGAGGACACGACTAGAAATCAGTGGTTACGTTGTATTTACAACACTGTTGCAGACCAGTTCAACCCAAATATTCCGATGTGTCCAGCGCATTTTATGGAGGACTGTTTCCTGATCCTGGTAGTGTAGACTACAATGCCGGCTGTTCTGACTCACAGACTGTAAGTACGTTTTTTTATATTTAAAGAATTTGCCACTGACGATTCAAACGCGAATTTTAAGCAGTGTAGAGTAGCGCTTGTTTGTCATTTCTCCAATCACAAATGCAGACATGGTTTTATGTTTACGCGGCGCGATGCAACGCAACGCAACGCGTAAAAAGACAGTATAAGTCATTATAATCTGTAATTATGTCCCCACTGGATGCAACAAATGCCTCGTTTATAATGGGTTTTAATGTTTTTAAACAACTGAGAGAGAGCGCGCGTCCTTTTTTGTGCATTATATACTGTTACATGTGTTTTGTCCACATTTCATATGTTGTATAATTATATCACTAGGTAACAAAGATACATTAACAAAAAATATATATATTTTAGAAGGGCCTCACTGATTAATTTTGCCTGGGGCCCCCACTTCATGTAGGTACGCCTCTGTGTGACGTCACATTGTTTAGGCCCCGCCCACGGCCGCTGACTGACAGTCCTGCATTACCGAAGTTTCCGCCCTCAGCGAGTTGTGTTTGGTTGTACGCTGTCCTCCATTTTCTCCGCGCTCGAGCAGCAACGTCTCGTAAGCAATCCCGGTGTTCTGTGTTTGGATGTAAGACTGAACATAAGAGTCTTCATTTTCTCCCAACATCTGAGCCACTGAGGACGCAGTGGATTACTTTTATCTTTGAAGGTAATGTGCCTCAAAATCATGTTATTATAGTGCTTAGCTAACGTTTTAACCGTGCGGTGTCATTTCGTTAAAGCGCATAGAGAACCTTATCAAAGTGTTTGTGTGTTGCTTTTCCGTCATTGCAAATGGGCTGTGAACACTCTAAATGTACATAAATGTATCAAATAACCATTCAGAGACACCCTGGTTCATTCTCATATTTGTCTCTCTGTGTCTGACTCTGGTTCAAACATGTATGGCTGAACACCAGTTCTCGCATTCTCATTCATGTTGCTTCTACCAGCTGTTTATTAATGTAGGTATGCAAAGCAGAGACATATACGCCACGCCCTCTTCTGAAGATGGGGCGGGAATATGCAGCTCATTTGCATTTAAAGTGATACACACCAAAACAGCTATTTTTTTTAGACACGCCCCAAAAATTACATTTTCCACATGATATAATAAATGATCTGTGGGGTATTTTGAGCTGAAACTTCACAGACATGTTCTGGGGACACCCAAGACCAATATTACATCTTGTAAATAGGGGCATAATAGGTGTCCTTTAAAATTAAAAACGTCTTATTTTTTTTAAACTGATGGACTGGAGTGCTGTGGATTACTTGTGGATTTTTGTGATGTTTTTATCAGCTGTTTGGACTCTCATTCTGACGGCACCCATTCACTGCAGAGGATCCACTGGTGAGCAAGTGATGTAATTCAAGAAAGAAATACAGTTCTCCAAATCTGATGAAGAAACAAACTCATCTCTATCATGGATGGCCTGAGGGTGAGTACATTTTCAGCAAGTTTGAATTTTTGGGTGAGCTATTCCTTCGAGACAAAAGCTGCTATGTTCACAATGCTTGGTAATATCTGTTATTCTCTGTTTTTTCCACGCAATAAATCAGAATCAGTGGAGGACATCTGTGCTAGCCTGTGGCGCATCGTAAGCTTTGCTCATAGATCACAGTGCCCCAGGAATGCTGACCAAATAAGAATTTGCATATGACCTGCTTCTCCTCAATTTACTTTATATTTCATGCACAACGTGAGCAGATTAACACGTTATATAAAAATTCTCAGGTGCCTGTTCAGAGAAAAACTATTACTAACAATGATTAGATAACAGGCATGCTTTTCTGAGAATCCTTCAAATGACATTTCAGTGCTATTATAATCAATACACTCCCATCAGCATGTTAACAGCATCTCAAATACATTCATGCATCAGACAGTGATGGGCTGCACAATCTCTGCCATGAAAACTGATGCTGAACTGCAATATGCATCGTCAGTTGCAATAGAATTACAGTGCAATGGGATATACAGATCTTATTTGGCATGCACAACTTTGTGTGTTCTTGGAACAGGAATGCATGATTTTTCTAGCTGTTTCAACCTGTACTTTATTTGCGCAAGACCACCTCTATAACAGGTGCAATCTTGCATGCAATTAAAGAAGAGGTCACCTGCACCTGGACACATGCAGTGAAACGCTGCAAGGGACATCAGGACCACTGCAGTTGCCTCATTCAGATCTCAATGCACTGACTCAAGCTACTCTCTTACAGACCAAAGATACACAAGGTTTATAACATGTTGCAATTGATCTGCCAGGTCTGTATCATGTTCTGATTCACATGTTTCTAATGATATAAAAAGGAAGGTTACCTCTCACCAGTGAACAGCATCAAGTGTCTATCAGTTCCTCAGCTGTAGATTGAAAGATGAAACCGTCACTGTGCCAGTGTTGTGATACGGAGGAGTCAGTGCGATGTAAATGCGTCAGTGCATCACTCTCAGATGCACGCGCTGCTGCAGCAACTTTGACATTGCGCGCTTTGACGCGTTGGGCGCTTGTACTGTTGTCCTGCTCGCGCGGAGCGTTCTGATCTCTGTCTCCGCGTCTCCCCCGCGCGCGTGCAGTCTCTCTCTCTCTCTCTCTCTCTCTCTCTCTCTCTCTCTCTCTCTCTCTTTCTTTCTCCGCATGCGCCCGCTGAATAATGAATGACTAGAGTAGCACTGGAGCTGCATGGACGTTTCTGTCTCGTTCTAGTGCAATCAGGAACTGATCACAATGAGTCGAGCGCTTTGCTCGGGTTACAGCTCGCCTATTTAATCTGGCCCCCATCCTGCCTTTGTTTCCACTCTTGCAAACAAAAACGCAGGGGGTCAACAGTGAAATATTGAAACCCAAGGGCATTTTTTTGCACATTCTCTAGAACAATTAAGTTGTGCTACAATGTCCCGCTGTGGACTCATTAGAGGAAAAGCTAAAAGACTTCAAGGCATCTGAAGAATGTCTTCATCACACATGTCTGGATAATCAAAACATACCAGATCCTCTCTGCATATATCAAAGACACGTGGCTTTAAAAATTCAGTTACACATTATAATGGCTTTAATTTATAGGTTATTAGCAAAAGACGTAAGGGCAAATCTCACAAAACCTGTCAAGAACATGTCCAGGTCAATTTTGATCGATCAATGTGCAAAAAAATCGATCGATCGACCAAACAACCAACCAATCAATCAATCAATCAACCAATCAATCAATCAATCAACCAATCAATCAATCAATCAACCAATCAATCAATCAATCAACCAATCAATCAATCAATCAATCAATCAATCAATAGGCCTACTTGATAACCAACTGATAAACTTGATAAATATCAATTAATTATTTAAACATTGCATTACATTAAAATCTGAATGTATTAGAATAATCATTTTTGAGAAAGATTGTCATATAAAATAATGTCACAGTGCAAATAACAAAAATTACAAATATGATTGATTTCCATCATGAAAAATAGCTTATAATTCATTATTTTCTTGTTTGGTTTTGAGGTGAAATATGACCTGCATGTTTTCATGAGATATAGATAACATACTAGTGATATGACTTCACATGGAAAGAATTTGCATTATGTTTAAAATTATGTATTCATATTTGAAAGCGCTGGAACTACTCATCTTTACAATTTTAAAACATATTAAAATGATAAAACGTGAAAATTAGGAATCAATATCTTTTTTTCTTCCTGTAGGGACCGGGGCCCATTGGGGGCCTTGGAATACTTCCAGATCTTAAAATGATTTAAATTCAGTAATATTAATATTATTCTTAATTAAAATGCTTTAAAAAGCACTAAAATTATTTTTATTTTAACATGTACCAGATGTAGAGTAAATATGAGCTTATGAGAGTCTTTGAATATTATCTTGAACAAAGGTGGCCTTGGAGTCAAACATGTTGAGAACCACTGATCATTGCCACACAATTCATAAAGTTCATACATTTTTCACAATTTCTTACTCACAAAACACAGCTGAAAAGACCTCCTAAATCCCCTAACAATTCTTAAAAATGCAATAATTTCATATAGAGACACACAATGATGTTATTCAGGTAGCAAACAGTTTGGTCAGCTTACAAGTACCTAAATAACTTCTCACTAAATTATTTTAACAGCACACTTAAGTTATAAATATGGCAGATTAATAGGGTAGGAACAAACCCTTTGACATCCTACTGTGTATAATGCAATGCATTTGAAAGATCCTGCATGGAAATGACATTCTGAGTATTGTTTCCTGGCACTGGTGACTGAAGATTAGAATCATATTATAAGCCATCTCAAACATACTGAAATATAGCGCATTAATATATTATAGGTGGCCCAGTGAATATGATCACCAGTGGTCTTACCAGAGGGTGAGCAGATCGTGCTGTGGCTGTAGGATACAATCCGTTCTCTGGCGTCAGCAGTACTGAACGTGCCTTCTCCCCGCCTGCAACAAAACATCACCAAACCAATCACTCATTTAGTACATTATCATAACCTCAAACAATCATCCATCTATCATCCAAACCATTTGCCCTGTGCAAGTATGTGGGGATTCTGGATTAAAACTGCCTCATATATGTGACCCTGGAGCACAAAACCAGTCTTAAGTCGCTGGGGTATATTTGTAGCAATAGCCAAAAATACACTGTGTGGGTCAAAATTATTGCTTTTTCTTTTATGCCAAAAACTAGGACATTAAGTAAAGATCATGTTACATAAAGATATTTTGTAAATTTCCTACTGTAAATATATCAAAACTTAATTTTTGATTAGTAATATGCATTGCTAAGAACTTCATTTGGACAACTTTAAAGATGATTTTCTCAATATTTTAATCTTTTTGCACCCTCAGATTCCAGATTCTCAAATAGTTGTATCTCGGCCAAATATTATCCTATCCTAACAAACCAT